TATCTAACTAAAATCTACTTAGTGAAAGTGTTTCCTCACCATCATTTTCATGAATCGGAGAGAAACCTTATGACACTTAGATTTAATGGTGTATGTGTTCTTATCCATGTGAATTGTCAAAACCATAGTCACAAGACAAGGATAATGACAAATCCAAACTCATATGGACTGAACTCAATCTTAACTTCTTGCCACCTGGCAGCTCAAGGGCCACCATTGCTTCCAAGTTGTTGTGCAACACATTGAGAACTCTAAGAACTCATATGCAAAGCCAACTTTAACTGGAATGGGCACAGAATATGTCAACACGATAGGTTATAAACCTCAAGTCGTGTGCTAGTGAAGAACTTCAGGTTTCATTCTTGATTAGTTCTTGAGACTTTCAAGACCTTTAAGACTCCCACTGTCCTCTTGACCTATAAGACTCCCTTGTCAAACATCCAAGAGATAGTGCGGATTCTAATCAAGACAAACACTTCACACAATTGGCCTAGTTGGTCTTTGTTTTATCCAAAACATCACAACTTACCAATTTCAAATGTACAAGAGTAGAAAACTTTTACTCTTACATTTGATAAGTGTTTTAAACCTTTTTAAAGACATGTCACTCAAATTACAATCTTGGAGTATGACTCTAAGACTTGTATTGGAACGAAGTATGACTCATCTTCTTGATTTAACCATTTCAACAATTCAAGATCCCTTCTTCTTAGTCATAAGAATGCACTAAGACTTCCTTAGAGAACTAATTTTGATATGGTTTCTTAATCATTAAGATGATCACAAAACTGATACTAAAGTACTCTCCCATCTTTTCAGATTTGAGAAACTTTTATCCTTCTGCCTAATTTGATTCTTCTTATTCGCTCTGCTATGCATTGGAACCTTTTCCAATGTCTCAGAGTTACACTTAAGCTTGTAAGTATAATCATATTTACTGAGCTTTAGTAAACTATGACGAATAGCCTTACATCTTTTGTGGTGGACTTAATCAGTGCACATGACTATGTACTCGATCCCTTAGTCCATTACTTGACTCACACATCCATGTGAACAAGTAATTAGTCTTAATTTTTCCAATACTTGAAAGTTCTCATTCATCATGCTATACAACTTGCATGATTCCAAGTCCTGGTCCAATTGAGACTTTGGATGATGAGAATCTTTCCTTATTTGGTAAATTTAGACATTACCACAAATGAAGGAATCAATTTCATATTTCCACTCTTGCTATTAATGGAATCATATAAGCAACAATTTTTCCTCAAATGCCATTGTAAGGATATTTTAAAATAAATAAAATCAAAATTTTCTTTTATTTTAAAACTATGCGGAAAAACTTATCCTTACAATCCATATGAAAACTTGTTGTTATCTATTCCTTAGCAATATCTCATAACTCCTAAGAAGTAGCTCAAGAATCCGATTTTCAAACTACGCGATAGAAATCCATCTATGCGATCAGATTCAACATATTCTTTCTTTAAGTTCCTTTACTTTTCTTTGATTCTTAAAACATTACCATGTGACCCAGTCACATCATGTATCAGGAATCTCAGAATAGAAACTTAACAGAGTTAGATTAGTGGACTTTACCTGAAGTAGAGTCAATCTTATTGACTTTAACATCCTTAGGTAAATTTGGCAGCTTCGCAACTAATGACCCTTACTTTGGCAATATAAACATATGGACCCTTTGATAATGGTAAAAACAGGACTATTACAGACTTAGCCTTTTTCTCTTTACCATTTGATCAACCTAGTTGACTATGGTCAATCCCTTTCCTTGGGAAGAGAATGTTTTTTCTGTATTTCCAGTGTCACCATTGTCAATGTCCATAAAGTTTCAGGAAGTTGATCTTAGCAAATAGATAAGATCATTAAGGGTCTTGTCATAGTCTATTTCATAGGTGTCCCAAAGGAACTCACTATGTGACTTAGAAAGTGATTGAACCACCAACTTTCTCAAGACTTTGACACCCTTCTCTCCCGGCTTGTCAATATGTGACTACATCTCCAAGATGTGATCACACCTAGACCTTGCCTTGCCAATAGGGCTTGAGTGACCTTAAACTTTTCAAGAACTTGTGGGTTAGGGAGAATAATTGGAGGAGGAGAAAGAAGTATGATTTCCAAGGGACATCATCTTCATTTAGGAAAGCTTGTTTCAAGAGATTTGGGAAGATCATAAATGTCTAAACCAGACATCTTTTGGGAGATATTCAAGATAGTTGATTTTAAAGTCCTTAATATGACACCCAATATGAAATATTAAGGCTAGGACCCAACAAACTATTTTATAACTTAGAAGAGGTATGCCGTAATCCAAGCTATAAAACAATTTGAAGGTAGGTGAATGACGATTCACCAATTTCCACCAAGATAAACGAAATGTATTATTAGGTTTTAATTGGTTTTGAAACTCCTAGATCTTTGAGATTCATTGAACTGTTCAATGGCATGTTTCAATCTCGAGTGTGCCCTTCAGGTTTTGTGACTGGGATGCCGAGGATCACAAAACAAGGTGTGAAGTAACCATGCAAATTACTTGGTACCCTTAATAAAAAATTACCCCTCAATCGATGTGTCGGTTAACCACACACGCTCCATCGATACTATGATAAATATTAAGTCACCCTTTGCCTACCTTGTTAAATACGAGTTAGTGTGCCGGTTAACCACACACGCTCCACTAACCGACTTAAACAAAGTGCAAAGTGTAATTTCATGGATTAGCACCTTATTCACATTTTCCTAAGTAACTAAGATTGGGTATTATTAAGAGTTTAGTTACTTAGTATTTATCATTAATACTTTTAATGAAGGGAGAATTATAGTCCTGTCAAACCCGTTCGGCTAACGACCCTCCACCGGTCAAGCAAGCGGTGGGTGAGAGTGGACACCCATTAAGTTGCCATTTTATAGGCAACAACCTTATACCCACCTTATAGACCGGCTTCGTGAATGAGGCGTACTAGCGGTAAGACTGACTTTACTCTTATACATATATATATTATTAACTTATAATATTATAAAGTATAAGGGTTGAATTTTAACTTTTAAAATTCTAAGGGCTAACTTGGAATTAAAGTATTCATATGAGAAAACTTTACAAATTCCAAAACTTGAGGGCAAGTTTTGAAACTATTCAAAACTAATTAATTCCATAACTTATGTGTTTAAAGTAGTTTTAATCCAAAAACTCTTCAAGTTCCATAACTTGTGGAAGACTTTAAACTAATAAAAGAATTAACTTTTCTTTATTTTTATAACTTATGGAATTAATTAAGGTTACATTATTTTTTTTTTATTTATTTATTTAATGAAGAGACTCTTGGTCCTCCATAACTTGAGGACAAATTATGGAGTCATAACTCCAATTAATTAGAACTAGACTCTTCATTTTGTAAAATTTACCAACTTTTATGAGTTTTATGAGTCTTTAATGTGACTCTTCATGTAACTTGAGGACAAGTTACACAAACACATTTTATACTCAACTCTTAGATTAAAATGGATTGAAAACAACTATTTCAATTAACTTTTCTATTAATCTAAGCAACTCATAAGAACAAGATAATTCAAATCAAACTTTTTCATGTAATTAGTCTAACCTTTAAACTAATACAAAACATGAATCTATTGACAATTATCTTTGAAAATGGATTAGCATGAACATTACCACATCAAAAAAACAAGTTTATAAGTTCAAAAACAACTTAGGGTAATGTTCCTAGTCCATTTCTAGCCAAAAACCTCGAAAATATGCTGTCTGGGGTCCAACTCGTCGAGTGCATGAACACAACTCGGCGAGTTGGATGCATTTTGCCTTGGACTCGTCGAGTCCCTTCATGGACTCGGCGAGTCTGCTGGGTACACAGCAACAAAACTCGATTTTTCAGCTTCTATTGCAAGTATAACAAGAAAACAAGCCTAGGCTCTGATACCACTGTTGGGTTATGAGCATTCTAACACTCCTAAGTGTACATGCAACCCTAAATACCTTGGATCTATGTTTTCTCTATTATACATGCAAATATGAATATCCAAGGTATTATCCTAAACTAGCATACAAAACTATCAATATAACAAGATAGAATACATACCTCTTTGATGGTGCTTGTCTTCATGAAGCTTGAGTGCCTAGTGCCCCAAGTGTGACACCTCAAATGGTTCACAATCATCAAAACACTTAGAATAACTTAGAGAGAATTCTACACTTCATGAAATCGGCTAGCCCTTTCTTAGTCTCACTAGTGGCCGATTTTCCTCAAGAATAAGATGCTTATATAGTTATACAATTAGGGTAAACCCTAATTGTCATGACTTTCCATTTCCTTGGATCCATGGGTTCAAATACACCATGGAGCATCATATGGGTTTTGGCCCAACTAGATAATCCATGGAGCATTAGCCCACTATACAAGTATGGATGATTTACACAATCAACCCATATATTTAATTAGTCTTCTTTTGATCACTCAATTAATCCTAGATTAATTCTTGATCAATACTAATTAAATAATCTCATTATTCTTATTATTAATATACTAGAACTTATAATATATTAATAACCATAAGTGTTTTATTTCTCTCATTTAGTCTATCCAAGTGCATGATGGTATGCAACCCAAATGGACCATGCCGGGTCGGGTCAAGTCTTACCAATTATAGTTATGGACTTAGACATTAATCCAATAGTAACACCACGTGCATAGTAGGTAACATTCTTCATTGGGAAAACAGGCTTCATGTGACCCACTTCTCTACATCCATAACAAACTACTAATCCTTTTTCTAATTTACATTCACGCTGATGATTCTTTCCACAATTTTGACATGATAGCGACTGAAGAGAAAAAGATTTTGACATACCATGGCCACCAAAAACACTCTGAGATTGTACCATTGAATTAAAATCAGGCCGAATAGGTCGAGCTGATGGAATCTCTATTCCATCAGGTAATACTGCTAATCTTTCTAAGAACTAGGAAATTTCTATGGATGAGGTTGTGATGTCTAGACCTAATACTGATTTAAAGATTGTGAAGAGTCCGTTGACGACTGTTAGCCCTTATATTAATAACCATATGGATTCTTCTACTGAGTTGGCTATGAATGGTGATCAAATTGTTTTTGATGTTAATGTTGGAAATGATAAGATGTTGAATGAGGAAGATAAATGGTTGAATGTTCCTGTTAAGGTGGTTATACCTGGTGTTTAGGTTAATTGTATTAGAGATGGAATGATGGATAAGGGGTTTCATGTGTGATTGAATGGAATGAGAAGAATATTATGGTGAATCATGGTGATTTTGACTATTTGTCTAAATATTCTAAATGGAATGATAGTCGTAATGTGGTGGTGGAAACAGATGCTAATTCTGATGTCGAATTGAGTAAGGAAGAAGGGGAGGTCAAGGATTGTGCCCCATTGGGAAAAATTTCTGATGAACATTTAATATTGCAGAAGGTTGCCACTGTTATCAACAACATTAATCTGAAACTTTCTCTTCTAGGTGATGCTAATAAGGGAAGAAAAGTTATGGATGCTTCTAATCATGATGATTCTAAGTGTTTGGCTGCTATCATGGGGAATGGTTCAGATGTCAACAATGTTTCTAAGGATGTGATGAATAAAGAAGGCGAGGGGTTCTCTAAGGTGGAGTATAATAATGGAAATAATGGAAAAGCTGGTGCTAATAGGTATGGTACTACTGGGGATCAGGATTTTTCTTCTGGAAAACAAAACTTGAACTGGAATAGTGGAAATAAAGGTTGGACTGCTAGAGGTCAAAATTGGAAGTGGAACCGGGGGAGTGTTAGCCATTGGAACCAGCAAAAGAATCAACAATATTTTGCTTCTAGTAATATTTTTAACAGTCTAGATATGCGGGGGAATAATGGGAAAGAAAGTGTGAATTCTACTAGTTTAAAGAAAAAAGAGGAAAAGGGCAAAGGTAATAAGGATAATCATAAGGATAACATGAGTGGTAATTATGTGAATTGTTTTTCTGTTTTAAATCATATTACTAATGATTTTGTTGATAATTTAGAGAATAGTATGAAGAGTCATCGGGTTATTTCTTCTAAGTCCGGTTCAGGTTGGCTGGACTCTGTTTCTCAGTTCGATTCGGGTCATATTAATGCCACTCCTGTTGGGATTAATTATGTTATTAATTCCAAGTAAGATTACAATATGAAGAACATGGCTAATGTTGCTTCTAATAAGTTCGTGGGGGGGGGGGGGTGAGGGTAAGGATTGTTTGAACCAGGTTTGTGGTGAGGGTAGTTCAAAAAATTTTAATGTGGCCTGATGTTTAGCTTCCTGTTGACTCGGGTTGTTGTGCAGGGCTGGAGGGGGTTTAGCCTTTGGTTTAGTTTTTGTGGGTTGTAAGCCAGAAAACACTCAAATATTGTTAGTCATGATCAAAGATACCCAATTTGTTTCGATCTAGTCCTTTAGGCATAACATCAAACACTTGGAAGGCATAATGAAATAACCCTTAACGCCTACCATTTTCCAGCAATAAGAATTGCCCACATGACTTGAAACTTATCAAGAATTGCAAATGAGATTGATTATCAAAAAATGAAACACTAATACGAGGTTAAGATTGAGAATAGAAGTGGGTTAAGTTTGAATCGAGCAAATAGTCTAGCTGAATGAACAAATAGTGAGTCGCTTATGAAAAAATTAACAAACAGTGAGTCGATTTTGATCAACTAGAATTGAGTGCGAAAGTGATTACTTGAAATAAACATATAGAAACACAAATCCGAACACGCATAAACTAAACCAAAATAGAGGATCGGAAATTCAAGTCACGTAAACGGATTCCAAACTTGATACAAAAAATGAGTTTTAGTCAAAATATGACATCAATACGTAGCGTTTCTTCAGTGAATATAGCAACCAGAAAACTTCGATTTCATGTTCATTTAGAGAGTCAGTGTTTGCGATCGGTGGTTTTCAAAGTTGTAGAAGTAGATTGAAACGACCCAAAAATACGACCTAAAAATTTTGTTTTTCAATGTAATCAAAACCATAATCTGAGTATCATAACATAAAAACATACGCGATGTATCCCAAATCATAATAAAATACTGTGCGGAAAAACTGTATCATACTATATCAAATCAAGACAACTAAAACCATCCCCAGGATAAAAGCTAAGCTGTGGTGTGTGCGATGCTATCACCCCGAGCTCTTCCCTTTGCTTGCGGAAGTACCTGAAACCAAAACTGAAACTGTAAGCACGAAGCTTAGTGAGCTCCCCCAAACTACCACATACCATACAGTAACATATAAACACATATTGGGCCTGGCCCACTACATCGGGCCGAAGCCCGGAAACTGCATCGGACCGAAGTCCGGAACTGACTGGGACCTTGTCCCCTGCATCGGACCGAAGTCCGGAACTAACCGCGTCGGACCGAAGTCTGGAACTAACTGCATCGGACCAAAGTCTGGAACTAACTGCATCGGACCGAAGTCCGGAACTATCTGCATCGGACCGAAGTCCGGAATCGACTGGGACCTTGTCCCCTGCATCGGACCGAAGTCCGGAACTGACTGACTGAACATGGCATAGCATAACACATCATCTAGCATGAACACATATATTGCATACTACATCGGGCCATAGCCCGGAACACATAACACTTAACACATAAAACATAGCATACAAATCCTGTCTGAGCCACGAAGGCATCAAACATACTAGCTACTGCATCGGACCAAAGTCCGGAAACTACTGCTAACTGAATGGGCCGGCATTGTGGCCTTAGACCCGTCCCTACTGGAAGGAAACTCACCTCGTCAACTGGCTGCTGAGTGTGTGGCTCTAGAAGCTAACGGCTGCTGCTCCTGTATCTCCCCGGCTACAAGTCCATAAACACACTCAATCAAATACTAAACACTGCACTTGGGTAAAATAACTCTTTTACCCTTGGTCAAAGTTACTCTCATTTGGAGTGACTCGCCGAGTTGGGCCACCCAACTCGTCGAGTCCTACTCTCACTTTTCAATCCTACTCGCTGCTACTCGTCGAGTATGACATCGACTTGACGAGTACCCCCTTGATCCAAGAACTCAGACAATCTTCATCCGACTCACCGAGCTGTATGAACATACTCGACGAGTTGTTCTTGATCTTAAGAAGATTGCCTTGGACTCGCCGAGTTGTATGAACAACTCGCCGAGTCCCTCCGTTACTGAGTCTACCTTCAACTCGCAGAGTCCACTCTCTAACTCACTGGTTCCACTCAACACTGCTAAAAATGAAGGAATCGGGGACTCGCGACTCAACTCGCCGAGTCGTTCTTCCCGACTCGCCGAGTTTCCGCCATGCAACTGTTTTTCACCCGATTTTGCTTGAATCCAACACATACAAATGATAGATCTGAGTCCAATAAGCTGGTTTACCACGTAAAGTTTCCAACTTTACGTGTACAACACATGAATAAGGGAAAATAAGGCTAAAAGATGCATAAAAGGGATAGATCTAGGGTTAATATGCAAAGTATCCTCATAAAGGCAATAGATCTGGACTATGGGACTTCTCAATGAATAGATCGAAGGTTATCTCGGCTTATTTGGGTGTTCATGAAAGCACAAGGCTTGGAACAAGCATCAACTAGTACTTAGAAGAGTTCTAATGGAGGTTTAAAGCATAAAACAAGAGGGGAATCCGAAAATACCTCCAAATAACTCAGATTTGCCCTTGGATCTTGCACAACTCTTCTTCTCCTTGCTCCTTTCTTCTTCTCCTTCTTCAAGCCTTCACAAATCACACAAAATCACTTATAAACTCTCAAGGATGAACTAGGGTTTTTCTCACAGTGTTCTCAGGGTGTAGGAGGCAAGACTGGGGCTATAAGGTGACTTAAATAGTGGGCAACCCGGGGATTTAGGGTTTCACCCAGACGGATGGACTCGCCGAGTCCGGGATATGGACTCGCCGAGTCTCCAGCTAACACGTGCTCGAAATCGCGGCCCTACTCGGCGAGTCAGGCTATGAACTCGCCGAGTCCCTCTTGCAAATCTTTAAAACAATTACTAATAAATTAACATACCGGGAACGGGTCGTTACATAGATAGTAGCATCGGAATCGCGTGAAGGTGCGGGATAACGAAAATTTATGGCAGTATAACAAAATTTGATAGCGGTATTGTTTTATTTGGTAATATATGTTGCAAATTAATTTTTATGGAAATCAGAGGCTAAAAAAACATTATGATCAGTTATATTGTAAATTTAATTTGTTTAGCTTAATTGTGTATCTTATCCCACTCAAGCAATTTATAAGCATATGCCTCAAACATTATTTTGGGAGATTAAATGTCATTCAACCATGAGAGTGAATGCATTACGAGTGTTACAAAAAAAATTATAACCTTTATAGATTCTATTCATTATTTATCAAAAAATATAATCAAAACTTATATAGATGTTGGTTACTTAAATAAACAAATCTTTTTTATATATAAATTACGCATGTATAATTTATCAAAAGAAATGTTGAATTTAGAAAAATGAGGTAAAAATATCAAAAGAAATTCAAGAAGGATGAAAACCCTAAAATGAATATTACCTCAGTTGCTCCACCATTTTCGGCTATACTCCTGAGTTTCCAGCTCATCTCCGATGACCGTGTCTAATTCCTTTGCATCCCTACTATATGGACCTCTATTCTTCTTAAATGTTCAAGTTGTTTTATTCCTCTTGAGATCTTGAAATATGATGAAGTAAAGAGCAACATTGGTAATTCTTTTTTGAAAATTGAAATATAACAAGATAAGAGATAAAGTTTGGGAAGTGAATAAAAATGACCAAAAAAAATAATAAATGGAGATAGATAAGAAAGTAACTTTATGATATTTTCAATTTTTTCATATTAATATTATAAATTACAATTAACTAATATATTAGTACTAATGATAAAAATTTGATATTTTTAAGACGTGAAATTTTAGAAAAATACTAATACTCACATTCTACTTAATGGATTGCACAAATCCAAAATTTTAATTTCCAAGCATTTGTTAATTAAATTAAACATTACATTTACTATTTACATGTTATAGAATAAATTTTTTAAAATCATCTGACTTCTAATTCATTTGTTTACATCTTTTTGACAATACTTATAATTATTATGTAAATTTTTTACTAAACTTCACAAATGGTCCCTGTGGTTTGCTCAAAATTATCACTTTAATCCAAAAAGGTTTGGACTATCACCACAGGTCCAAACTTCTCATTTTGTTGCATGTTTGGACTATCTCAAAATTGGAAGAGGTTAAAATAACTTTTTTTGCCCTTGTGATTTTTTTTTTTTTCTTTTTATTTACTATGCTAGTTTTTAACTAACAAATTTTAAAAAAAATAATTAAAAATAGAAAACAAATACAACTCTCTCTCTCTCTCTCTCTCTCTCTCTCTCTTGTTTTAATACCAATAAGATACATCTTCTTCTTCAAAACCCACCATCGGATCCTCGCCACCAGTCTTCCTTCCAGCCACTACAAATGAACCACTAAAAAATACAACCAACATCGCCCCTGTTATTGTCCCCCTCTCCATTTCTTCTTCTTCTTTCTCTTCTCCATTTCTATTTCTCTTTTAATTTAAAGAAACCTAGATTTTAGGGACACTCTAAACCTCTAGTCTGGCCATGATGAGGAAGCAATGTAAGACTAGGTATGAGTTATTAAGAGTCCTCATGAAGGAGGCAGGCATCGCCGCTACTAGCAGTGGTGGCACACCCATTCTTTCTCATTAGAGAAGATGAACAAAACACAAACCAGATCCTAACCTCAAGCTCATTGTAAAATAACGATGATCAATGATCGATGGATATAAACGATGCCATCCAAATCCAAGTAACATATCTCTTTCTCCCTCTCTCTCTCTCTCTCATGTCTATAACCTTTTCCTATAGAAGCTCAAACACACACATTCTCTCTGATAATAAAAAAAACACACACACACACAATCTAAAGATTATCGGCCTATGAAAATCTCACACTACATCCCCATTCTTCTAATTTTCCAGAAGTAATTTTAGGGCTTTTTGCCCTAGAAATTTCATGTGAGAGTATCAATTAGATACAAGTTCACTTAGTATCCTTTTCATTTATTTAAGATGTTCAATTGTTCAGAATAATCGATTTTGGGTTTTATT